TACTTGCTCAAATATTGATTCCGGATCATTTTTAACCAAAAAAAAAGTTACGGACTGCAGTTTTAAGCTCACGTAAGACCGTTTTTTTCTTCTAATCAATAGTACAATAAAATAGATAGATAGATAGATAGATAGATAGAGACAAGTATACAGACAGAAAGGCATTATTAGCTGCCAGGTACAGACAGCAACCCACTGTGTATGTAGGTTTTCCTCTTTGACTTATAACTGCTGCGCCAAAGACCTACAAAAACAGACCCATTAAGCATCACACGTTAGAGCACGCCTCACATCACAGCTGTTTCAAAACCTAGTGCGCTGCCTACTTAGACAGCAACATCTGATGTCTAGAATGGCAAAAATGTTGTCTACGTTGGCAGCTCACTACGTTTTGAAACACTGTCTGCCAAGCACTGAAATCATCCTGTAACATCATGTCAGTCACATTTGCATTGATTAAACGTCGCACTGTAATTTTAAATATAAATTAACAAATATGTAAGTGCATTGACTGAGCTAAACCAACAAGTATAATGCGTAATAATACTAAACTGCTGTTTAGCAAGTTCTGACCTTGTCTTACTGAAATGTCACGCTAATTTGCCGCGTTGATAAGCAATCTCGTTTTATCATTTATATTTACAAGGTGTCTCTGGACATACTGTGTAAATAAAATGCCTTGCCTTTGCTGTATTTCCCAACTGCCTTCCCAAGATTGGTTTTAAAGCTTTAGTAAGAGTGGCCATCATGACAGTAGTATGCATGGGTGCGTTATATTCCGGAATCCGGACTAAACACCGACCGATGGAGAAAGGTTCCGGACTACGTTCTTTTAAATAAGTCTTTAAAATTACTTGAAAGATTACATTAATTACTTTGCCATTGACAGATTTACACTCATACATATTTTTTTTTATTGTACATTTAAATATGACGTTCTGCTATCATGTCTTAAACCTACATTATTCAAAATGCCTAGAACTATACACATCTATTTTACTTGCATATTATCTGTTTATATAAATAATACTATTTTGCCTGGATCATGTGTAATTTGCATTTAAACTAAATAAACATTTGGAGCATAAGAGATGATATTTGCATACTGGGTGAGCACAAGAATCACGTGCTCATAATTTGCACCCCAACCGGAAGAATGGCATTGGAATTGGCGTGAAACAAATGCACGCTTCTGGAGTACACCGAACAAGGATCTTTTTTTATTACGGCGTTGTATGTTCGTTAAGTGTACGTTATATTTGCTGCCGACTAATTTAGTCGACACTGTTTTTAAGATGAACGTGCTGCGTTGAACGCGATTAGATTAATCGTGACTGATTTAAACCACAAGGGAGAATCTGTTTCACAAACCTGCTGCACAGGGTCACTGTAGATTTCAGGTTAGACGGTATTTCTATTTTAAAATACATGTGTGTAACGTGTGTTCCGATTCCATGACTGTGATCCGATTTCCAAATAGTTTGCTTGTTTAAAATAAGCAGACTGTAGTATGAAGCTGGTGTCTAGGTGTCAATTCCAGGGAGGTTTGCTTCCCAACTGACTAACAGCTCTAATGTCATATAAGTGGTTTGTGTTTAAAACAATATATATTTAAAACATATTAGCCAGTAAACGTCCAGCCAGCTATTAAAAATACAAATATTAAGCAGAAATAGGCATCAAGCTTGCTTCAAAGTATGTTTAAAACTTTGGTTGAGCTACATTTCCTGAATGACCGGCTACTCAATCTAATTTTTTAGAATGTCCCTCACTGGTTTAATTTGGAAACCTATGCTCTGTTCAGGATTAACTTTATCATAAATGTCACTGCTTTAAGAACTTAATGTTCTCATTTACTTCAAACAGAATCTTATTTGCTGACCAGACTTTGACATCTGTCTGCCATGAGGTTTGCAGGTCTGTGCATTTCCATGCTTCTCATGTATTAGTGAACTTTCCTTCTTACAACGGCATTCAAATGCTATTTCCTTTCTCTGTATTCTCCAGTGGCACTGCGTGCTGTTGCTTTGTTACTTCTGTTGGGCTTTACCTGGCTTCTAGCAAATTCTATGCTAGGAGGGGATGGGAACTCCTTTATGCGGATGCTATTTAGTGGTAAGAATGTTACATGTATTAGTAGATGTATTGGTGGTCGACCACTGATGTTTTAGTATCATTCAGATTCTTTATATTTTCCATTTTCATTTTAATTCTAGTTAATGTTTTAGTAATTCAGTTGTTTGTTTATATATATATA